TTAATTTCGGAGATTCATTGGGAATCTAACATTTCAACGTAGACGCAGGTTAAAAGATCGTTCTATGCAGGCCGGTGAATTTCCGCGCGCTGTACGAGTTCGTGGATCTGCACCAGGACGGCGACCCTTACGGCAGCGGGCCGTGCTCGAGGATATTCTACAGCCGTAATCGGGATCATTATGCCGATCGTAGGTTCCAGGCGCCGCGCGACATTTTCCTTTACGGCCGCGGCGGCGCGAAGAATATCAGGTGAGTTCTCTAACCTGTTGTCCGGGACGCTTTCTCGATACCATACCAACGACCTTGAACTATATCAAAATGACGGCCGATAATTAAATAATAATTTTTTGTTTGATGCTTCTTTTTTTTTTTTATGGACACGGACATGAATGTCGAGTGAACAAATGAAACACGCAAATAAAAGCTTGCACACTCTATTGTATATTGTATAATGTTTGTATTTATGTTTGATCTATCGACGGGGGGAAAGAACGAAAAGAAACGAAAAAAGAGTGAGAATGGCAAGGACATTCGTCGAGGTGAAAGTCAAGGACAGTGAGTAATATGGAGACGGATAAATGTGAGCAAGTGAGATATAGGTTAGGGGATAGAAATGTTATAAATATTAATAGTATGAATATAGAACTATATACGTATTACAAATATTATAAACTGTAAATAGTATTATAATTTATAATACTATTATACAATTATATATTATATATTACTATACACATATTATATAATACTATATATATTATATATTATATACAATAGTACTATAGTATTATAAAAAATATATAAATATTAGTAGTATAAATTAGAATTGTAAAAATTACAAAGACTGTAACTAGTTAATTTATAATACTATTATACTATTATAGTAAATTAGAATTGTAAAATTATAGTAAATTAGAATTGTAAAAATTACAAAGACTGTAATTAATTAATTGATAATACTATTATACTATTATAGTAAATGTAGTAAATTATACTATTATAGTATATACTATTATGGTATATAATATAGTATACTATCATAGTATATAATATTATATTACAATACTGTATAGTTATTGTATATTAAATAGTAGTAATACAATATGTTAACAATTATACATGTTATAAATATAGTATTTGAGGATAATAGAAATAGAATTATTAGATTATATAATAGTAATTGTAAAAATTACAAAGACTGTAATTAATTAATTTATAATACTATTATACTACTACTATATTACTATTATACTATTATATACTATATATACTATTATACTATTACTAGTAAATATAGTAAATTGTACTATTACTAGTAAATATAGTAAATTACACTATTACTAGTAAATATAATAAATTATACTATAGTATATAATACTATATATAATAATGTAATATTATATACTATAGTATATAATATTACATTATAATATTGTATAATATTGTACATTAAATAGTAGTATTGCAATATTATACATGTTATAAATATAGTATTTGAGGATAAATAGAATTATTAGAATTAGACTGAAATAACAAATACAGTACACAACAAAAAATGCAGTAAATGGGACGAACTTGTGAATACTTTGAAAAATTTGACCGACTAGGTATCACTTTAAATAACCAGGTTAATTAACAACATTCGTGATGAGAGAAGAGATGACGAATTTTTCGAAAGTAGGTTCATATTCATCCTGTAAGGATGAATAAAATGAGCAAGATGCAACGATCTGTCCATTTAAAGCGTCAGGAGGGAAATGGGGGTGGGGGTGGGGGGGAGGTGTGACGACCTACCAAAGTGTGGATAAACTTTTTCTCTTGCAGCCTGAACTGCGATGCGCCTTTTACGTGCAAACGATTCCGCGATTTCGAATGAGATGCGCGTCAGCATGCTGGCCCCTTTGTTCCACCGTGCAAAAGGCGATGGCCGGCCGTAAATAGTCCCTTTGTGCAGCCGCGACGAAAGTGTGCACGCGCTTTTCACCACCCTCTTCTCTTCACTCTTTTTTTTTTTTTCAAAGTTCCCTCCTACTCTCTCGTCAAGTTCCTCGACCCCCTTCGAGGGGGTAAAAAATCGAGGATAAAAAAGAAAGAAGAGTGTTGTTTTCTTCGAAGGCCTTCGACAGTGTCGATTTTTTTTTTTTTTTTTTTCGTTTTCCCTCGTAATTGACTACGTTTCTGGGAACCGCGAGGCGTAAAATGTGAGCTGAAGAGACGGATTCGT